CACCATTCGGGCACCCAATTATTTCCAAACGCAAGTACACCAAACTTACTCCTATAGTATTTCCAAACTCAATTGCAACAAGGTACCAATTGGTGTTTGACTAGTCACTGGTAATGGTAATTTCCATAAGAAATACACTGCCATCAGTTATAATTTATGTTCACCTTGTTCCAATTGACTTTGGAAAAACTATACCAGTTAATCATTAAGGCGATTTCGGCAAGCTTTGGTACATGGTTTGGTACCCTGTTTGGTCTGTCAAATGCATACCAACCAATTTCGGATACAAAAAAAGCTTGCCGAAATCGCCTAAAAATTATGCCGTCACCGTGACTTTGGTATCTTTTTTGGTCTGTCAAATAGAATACCATGGTCAGCAGCACGATTCTTCTTATTTGGTATAGTGCTATCTACGTCTATTTTCGTTTTGTCCTGCTCTGGGAAATGTAAATAAATGGAAGTTGATTAGAATTTGAATAATTTGAAATTTTTAACAAATGTATTTGTTTTTTCGCCTTTATCTTCCTGTTTTCTCGTATGTTTTGACTGCCAAATAATGTTTAACGATCATTTGAAAAATGGCTTTGAACGACAGATATGGGGTAACTTTTTTCCTGAATGGATTATGAAATAAGCTTTACATTTAGAGAAAACGCTGAGTTAGCCAATAGGTTACTCAAAGGTACTGTCTAGACAGTGCTGATTATAGATTTTAGTCAGTGCAGTCAGTACCTAATCACTCCCAAACCTAGAAGAACAACAAAAAGTTAGGTTAAGGCTCGTCTCTTCCCCTCTCTCATGACCTACCAAACGAATTCGGAATAAAATGGTATCTTACGTCATTTTTATGACGTTGCAGGTACCAATTGGTTAACCAAATGGTAACCAACCAAAGCTTGCCGAAATCGCCTCTTGATTAATTTTCTTATGCAAGGAAACCCGAGGGGTAATTCACTAAGGGAAAAATGTGACAAGATTTCGGATTTAGAGCGATTTTGAAGGATTTCGGGTGACTTCGAAGGATTTCGGTAGGATTTCGGAAAGATTTCGAGGGATTATTCACTGTGACAAGATTTCGGATTTAGAGCAATTTTGAGGGATTTCGGGTGATTTCAAAGAATTTCGGGTGATTTCGGAGAATCTCGGGTGATTTCACAAATATTTTAATTTGATTTTAGATTGTTGCCTACTTATCTTATAAGTATATTCGAAATAGGGTTGCCAGATTGCAATATCTACAAATCGGGTATACCAATCAAAAAGCTGTTAAAAAATCGGGACTTTAAATAAAAATCGGGACACTTTAAAGGAATAATTTGATATAAAAATAATACTGAACAATAAAAATTCTAATAAAAATAAATAAACTGAGAAATGTTCCACAGAAAGAGAGAGAGGTTTATGTCAGCACTGGACAAATTGGGGTATAAATTTTACATAATGAGAAAAGGGCCAAAATCTGGATAAAATGGAAGATACTCGGGAATATATGAAACAAACCCAAACTAATTTATTTCCAAAAATGTTCACCTTTTATTAGTAAGAATAGAAATAATGGACAAAAATTCCATTCTTTTACACCAACAGAAAAAGAACCTGGATATCTCCAGACTCCAGAGGGTATGATATCTCACGAAATAGACTACTTGTTTTGTATATAAATCTTCTAACAGTTAACAGATCCACCACATACAGTGATTATCAATGACGATCATAGAGTTCTGAGAAATAAAATAAGTGACTTAGGGTGGGTATTATAAAACTATTTCGACAGAATAACTAAATAGAAGTTAACTTCTGGAATGACGTTACTTCTCTTGTAATTCCAGAAGTTAAGTTTTAGTTATCTGTCAAATTAGTTTTATAATGCCCGCCCTTAGAAGTACAGATCATTTCACGGCAGAGCTGTCACAAATACTGATAAATAGTATTTCAAATACCAAGTATCAATTACGAGAAATTCATGTTGCAAGTACAAATACTAAATACTTTCAATTTGAAAAGTACTTCAAGTACTTTAATTTAGTACTTGATTTTTTCAAGTAAAATAATTCAAATACTCTGTAAGTAGTTCAAGTACCTAATTGAATATTTGAAATACCTATGTGTATTTGAAATAATAAGAAGTACTTCAAGTACACTCTAAAAAGGAATTCAAATATGTATGTAATTCAATGATTTTTTTTTAAATTGCATTGAAAGCTGAAAATACTTGTAATACCTCTAAAAAAGTACCTACTACAGAGATTCCAGATTCCAAGATTCGAATTGCAAATTGTGATTGTAATTACTTTCAATTTAACGATTTAAAATTTATCTTGAAAAGGTTGACTAAGAAATAAAGTGCAGTGCAGTGGGATTGTTTTAAGATACCCATTTATTGAGGAAAATAAAATTTTACAAAAAAATAATATTTAAACTCAAGAGGCAAAACCTATCCAAGGATTTTATATCTCTACTTGTATCCTCTGCATATTGAAGAATTTCCAGTTCGGAATTTATTTCAAGTAGGTACCTATTGTTATTTTTAAGACTCTCTGGGTTACTGATGTACCTACCATTTTCTTCGATGCCTGATATGTTGATATGTAGGACATATTAATTTCACATTTTGTGAAGTATTTGAATTACTTTCTGGGGTATTTCAATTACTTTTCACTTTCTGGGGTATTTGAAATATTTTAAGTATTTTGAGTACAAATGCCCAGTATTTGAATGACTTTTTTTGTAAATCCAAGTACCAAATACAAATACTTTATTTGAAGTATTTGCAGAATCAAGTACAAATATCCAAAAACAAAAGTATTTGAACTATAGTACTTCAAATACTAAAAAGTAATTGAAATAAATTTTCCAAGTAATTTACTTGAAGTACTGACAGCTCTGTTTCACGGGAGTTCATACTTTTGATATCAAACACATCATAACTTGAAAAAAAAGGGTTGTCGTAGATTAATTCATATGACACATTCAATTTTTTTGACAAATTGAAAAGAATGACTTCTGGTTTAAGAACCGACGAACGTTTTTGACGTCATTGATTTATTTCAGTCAATTTCTATTTGTTCAAAAAGGAAGGCAAAAAGTATGAGCCCTAGTGAAACAATGTTAAGGTACTTTTAATTTTTTCTAACTTTTGGAAGAATTTCGTGAAATCGGGACATTTAGCGTCCCGACGTATAGTCAATCGGGACACGGGACAAAATCTCCAGTATCGGGACTGTCCCGTTAAAATCGGGACGTCTGGCAACCCTAATTCGAAAGTGTATTAGTATAAACTGAAAAACGGCCGCGTTGACCGATTTATGAATTTTGGGCCAATTGCGAGGGATTTTTGGGTCTGCGGAAAGATTTCTGAGAGATTTCGGAAGAATTTCGGAGTGATTTCGTGGATTTCGGACAAATTTGTGACATGATTTCGGGGAGTGAATAACCCTTCGAGGGATAGTTCTAAAGCTGTTCGATGAGTCATCCTTGATTTCAAAAATTTTAAACAGGGATTTTATGTGGTTGTGGACAATTAACCGTTTGTTCTGAAATCTCTGGCATGTAATTCCCAACTGAAATTTTTCAATGGGAGCGTGTATAGTACAATATTCAAGCCATTTCTCAAAATGCCCAGAAAATTTAGGCAACTCAATTATTGGTAGCTTGACAGCTGTGTCACTGATAATGTTTGAGACACTACGCAGATGCCCCCCACCTATCATTGAAGATACCTGAAAAGTAGGAGCTGGTTGGGAAATTGATTAAAAGGAAATTCTTAGTTTCTGATACATATGATTTTGAAATGTTTCACTTCAAACTCCTCCAACTCATTCTCAGTAAATCTGTCAGGATCCAAACCCTGCAATTCAAATTGTACACATAAAGGTTTTAGTACAATGCTGGTTCGAATCTAATTTACCTGTATGCTGACAGAATCCAGCTCGAAGGACCAAATGTTGGCGATTTGCAGTCTTGTAAATAAGTGGACTGCACTATTTTCTTGCCCTAGATTTCTGGAATGCCCTCTGGCTTTGAAACATTGAAACCCCAAATTTGCCAATCTTTTAATTCATGCACAGAATTTGAAAATATAACAATTTAATTATTGAATTTTCTTATCTCTTGGCGATCCTTATTGAACCAGAACCCTAACCGTCTTAGTTTTTCAATAGAGGTCGTTCATAGATTTATATATAGTGTCACAATCTAGAAGTTTATCAGAAGGTGAATAAACCGGGCCTAAAAATAACAAAAACCCTGGAGTCTTTGCCCTACAAAAACAATGTCATTAGTCTTAAGATCTCACGGTTTAATTGTGCGAAAAACTTCTAGTTCTATTCAATGAAATATAATTTCAGCCTTCATTATATTGAATAACTATCTTATAATTTTACGTAATTAACTGATGGGTAAAAGCGTAATTTTAATGGGAGAAAATATTACTCACCCATCATATAGAAAGGTGAATGGTATCCACGAAACTAAAGTGTGAAATTTATCAGTTTTTGTTTTTGTATTAAATGTAATATTATCCTGTTGTTGTTATTGTATATAGATAATTTGAAACAAAATATATATGTAGTTAATAATTTTTATTATCTCCCCTTTCACAAACAGGTTTGTTTGTTTAATACATAATAATTGTTATACACTAATAGTATGGTAAAATAATATTGTTGACCTTGCTAGGAAACAAGAATTCTCTTGACAAAATTGCAATCACATGCTGATACCGTTTTAATAATACATTATACACGTGAATTGATTAAAAAATTTGCGCAATAATTTGTATTAAGCCGCATTCACCATAATATCAAGGATATAGTTTTTTTTAAATTGTAATTTAATACTCATCTCATTCATGCATTTGCGTCAATGAAAGCCAGATGATGAGACATGTAATACAATGCAATTTCTAAATGTAAATGGTATCAAATGTCTTGTCTTATTTTGTCATTTCCTCTCTGCACAAAGACATATTAATATTTCTATATATGAATTTTTTGTTTCAGCTTTGGAAAACGTACAGGTGGAAGTGCCAGGAGGCAAAACGAATGTTTTGTCCTCGAACCGTCGGAGATGATTGTGGTGAGTGTGGGTTGCGTAATTAATTTTTTTTATGAAATAATACATATAATTATTATATGGAAAAATTGAAAGTTAAAAAAAAAACGGCACGCTATCGTTAAATTATTAGAGTGGCACAGTTTTGTTACCGGAATTATGGCTGAAATTTTACATACGATTATAATATTGCATGTTAGAGGATGCAAGATAAGTTAACTCAAAGTATTTGAAGATAAATGTGTCATTTTGCACAATCTAGAAGCATTGTCAGAACTTCATCTACATTACATTGTTCAAACTTCATCCAGTTTCTTTGAAATTGTATGACAATGCATGCAGGATGACTTTTCTCTAAATGAAAGTTTTTCTCTCTTTAGATGTTTTTTTTTTCAAATGTTATTCTCATTGTCTTTGATAACACTTTACTGATAACAGCTCGGAAATATGACTCGCAATCAATTATTCGTCATCGTATAATGCATTATTTAATGACTAATAATAATTATTATTGTTAAATTTGATGTGGTTTCATTGTCGTTTTAGAAATTAACCCAGATTTTGGTTGCAAGAAATTTGATCAGGCTTTTCATCTGTAATTCGTTCCTCAAGTAACCGGAATTTTCAGTAACTATCTGTCAACTTTGGTAAACGTTTGGTTATATTCGGACCATAGCCTAAAGTGTGCGGTACCTTTTCAAAAACCTTGGGAAAGTCTGTATATATATCCAAAGATCAGATGCACATACTCTTTGGATATCTGGGTAAGATCGAAGATATCAGATTATATCCCACAGTAAGAGATGTATCCATTCCGGTCCAATCTCGCATTTGCTACATAAAGTTCACCGATTCTACTACTGGGTATTTCTCAGCACATGACAAATACAGTTTTCATTGACCGAGCCTTGATAGTAATACCTGTACAGAATGGCGAAATTCCAGACAAGTATTATGCATTTGAGATGACCAGAAATGGTGTAGTTGTACCATGTTTAAATGTTAACGAGTCATATATTATCCATTCACAATCCGATGTCCACAGGTAAAGGTAAAATTTATCACTTTTCAATGCTATTTGATAGGGAAAGGTGATAAATTTACCTGTACCTGTGGACATCGGATTGTGAATAGGATATATGGAATATACTTCAAAATTATCTTCCAGGGCCTTTGTGATAGTTTTTGTGTGAGATCGGAGGTTCAGTTCAGCATAGCAAAATGCTAAGGCCATATTCTCCGTAGTTCATAAAGCCTGGCTTAATGGAAACGCTTGGCTTTCTGTGTGACAAAGCCGAGCTTTTCTACTAAGCCAGGCTTTATGAACTACGGCGAATATGGCCCTAATAGGTAGAATAGAAGTGTCCCTGGATTTTTGGATAAGTACTACATAACTGGACTTCCAGTATTTTGGAAAGTGGCCAGATATACGAGTGAGCTATTAGATATGATGTGCCAAGGTCTTGAGAGGATAAAAGAGCAGTTTTTAAGCAAAATAGGATTAATTTTATCAGGGCTTGGCCCTTTATAGATGTTCAAGGGTTGTAATTGATAATTGAGATTCGAATGTTGTATAGTTATGGGGCAAGAGGGTAGATAATATCCGTTCACAATCCGATGTCCACTGGTACCAGTAAAATTTATTACCTTTCAATGCTATTTGATAGGGAAAGGTGAGAAATTTACCAGCACCTGTGGACATCGGATTGTGAACAGGATATATTATGTAATGTTTATGAACGACCTATTTCTGGAATGTGAGACTTATAAGATCCTGGCTGAACCATTTAGGAAATTTTTTGCCTGAGTTTTTTTTAAGGGACAAATAGGCCTATTGCATGATTTAGGATTTCGTAAAATGTTTGAACCATATCTGGTACTGTTAAGTTAGAAAGTATTGTGTCCCAATGAAAGGAGGTAAAAAGTCATTTATAAGGTTATAGTCAGCTGACTTAAAGTCATGATAGAAGGAGTTTGCTTGTGAACTGACTCTGTACTTGACTTGCTCTGAAAAAGGTTAAGACAAGAGGTGATGGGTGAGTGGTGGTTGTCAACTTTAACAATGCTCAACATTAAATATCCTAGAAGAAAAAACTAAGTCTAATATAACATTATTATTTCTAATTTCATTCAATTGAAAAATTCCATGATACGCACACATATCAGATACCTACTGCAGTTATACACCCCATAATTTGTGGTGAAATGTATACAACATTCCGTGCCAGAACCATTGAACAATCTTCTGAGCAAATCCAATTTACCATACGTATTATGATATTTGTGCTAGCAGGTATTTCGCATGAACAAGATCCAGACACTCACCGGTTTGTATGTTTTTCTCAGGGGGAGAATTGGGTGGGAGGTAGATGCAGCCAAGGATTGGTTCATGATTTTTTGTACCCATACACAGAACAATCAGGTCCAGTTCTGTAGGCACAACGTAACATGAAATAGATTTACGTACAGCAATCAATGCACTCCCCATTGACTTCTCAGTACTTGTCACGATGAATCTGGGCCCGGATTTTAAATCAGTGTGGATAATTTAGTTCGAAGGCCCTGTATGTTTTGGTAATAGGTAGTTAAGTTGATAAGACTTTTTGGTCTTTGTCCGTCACAATTTAGTTTCCCTCAGGAACCTCCTTATTGGCAATTATCTGATGAATACTCTTGATATTTCCCAATTTACTTTACCTTTTGACTTGCGCTCTCGTAGCTCCATCCTAATTTTTTTTTTCAGCTTGTTCTATGGTTTGATCGAGGTTCAAGTAAACATTTTTCCCTTTTACCTTATTTCTACAGCGGATGAGTGACTGTACTTTGCTTGAAGAGCCAAGCGTAATTTTGACTGTACAAAAGTCTTTTTGCCAATTATTCTGGAGAAATTTTGAATTGTAGGCGGGGTATCACTAAGAGTGCTCGCAATATCAGCCTCATCATCATCTTTCTCTGGCAAATTAAAGAGCATGGTGTTGTTCGCCCTTGATTGGTGTCAGCATTTGATAAGCTGATCTTGCCAGAGGTGATTATTGTTGATCTACAGTGTCAATTTTATCAAGTACTTTTGTAGACTTAGTAAGCTCGTCAACCCGGCTATTCAACTTTTCATTGGTTTCCTGTAACAGTTTTTAAATAGTTAATGTTTTCTTGCATATACTGGTACTTACGGATCAACAGGGTAACAAACGTGAGACCATCTCGGCAGTTGACGCAAAAATACATTAAAGTTCGCTAGCTTTGACTTCTAAAGCTGATAGCTGACTGCATTCCTTGGTTAAATGAGTACAGGATCGACAGCTGTCGCAAGTTGCGCAGTCGGTGTCCGCTTCTATTGTATTTTCGCATGTTTTGCACTTTTGCGGCATAGCGAAGACTATCCTTAATATTAAATCTCGACAAATCGCAGCAACACTTAGCGTAAAACTTATTCTGCTCTGCGTTCTACCTACACTTGAAAAATACATGAAAAGATTCAAACAAAATGACTATAACAAATGCCAGAACCTTTTGCCCCTCTACTTCCTAATATGTGAAACTGTACATTTTTTTTCCCCTTGAGAAACTCTAGTCTAAGTAAAGAGAAATGAGTCCGCGGAGCTTTGTAAAGTAATTCAAGACTTTGTCTTTCATGGTAAATTGCTGAACTTCTAAGGCTGATAGAGGTAATTCAAAAAACTGCGATAATAAACATACGAGAAAGAGCGTCTGCTACCGCTATATCAGACGGCCTTCTATATTGAATTTCATAATCATAGGCAGGCAACTGCAGTGCCCAGCGTTGAATCTCGGTTTCAACCTGCCAAGACTGGAATATCATTTTTAGACCCAAGGGTTGGTGATCTGTAAGACTCTTTGGAGCTATCAAGTTTTTCACAATTTCATACGTTGGTCCACAAATCAAAATAATGAAATACCAAGCTTAATTTTCTTCCATTGGGTACCTTGTTTACTATGAAAAGATGGTTGATTCGGTCCAAAAAACTTGTAAAATTACAAATCAAATCATACGGTTTAATGAATCCAATTAACGCGGCCATTCTTCAATCCCTTGCTTTGTCGTTAAAGAAAAATTTGGATAAAATTGAATTCTGTAAAATTATTACTTTGCTATGATAAAAATTAACCTTCTTTGAGGTTCAACAACATTTATTATCATTAGGCTACGAATAATAAATGTTTTATAATATTTATTTAATATGGTGGGTTTATTGATTATTAAAATTTAATTAATTGAATCGAGGTTTGGTTAGAAACTGACTCACTTTTTTTTACGTCTTGTTGTTGAACATTGCGTAAATTGAGTTTTATAGAAGTCAGCAATTCACTCATTAAGAAGTTCATCAATTATTTATAATATTGTCCTGAAACTGAATGAGTTTTCTAGCTGAAACTTTATCATTCTCTTCATAATTTCTTGACTGAAAAGAAAATATTCCTTTTCTACTGAAGTATTTTCCATTTATTTCTGTTCCAATTTTTGTCTCTTGAAATATTATTCTCTCTCTCCAACAGCGCTACAGCCCAAATTGGGCCTTGGCGTCCGATATCTTCCGTCTCCACACATTGTGGTCCAAGGCTCCTCTTCTGCATACTCTGATGCTGACGCCTATGAATCTACATTAAACTAAATGTATATTAAATATAAAAGGTTGGCTAAAATTATGCACTAAAAAGACAAGGGACGAAAACTAACAACACAGACACCTTAAATGATTCAAGATCAAACACAACAATATTGAATTACCTAATCAAAAATAAAATTACCATCAAGGTACTCCTCAAAAGAGTAGAATGCACCCTGAAGAACTTGAAGAAGGTATTTTTTAATTTCTCTAATGAATTTTCCACATCAGTAAGAAGAGCATTAAAAAAGCTTATCCCGAAGTGATCTGAACCCCTCAGAGTTCTTTCCAATCCATGGTAGCTAGGTACCAGTTGATCACGATTTCTGGTTGCTGCATGAGTCGGGAATAGTTCCTGATTTTTCTTGACATAGATAAAGCAGTTCAATGTGAAAACAC